TGGCATTTAAACGATGCCCAGTTGGCACTAAGGGGCCAAAAGTGTGCCAAGAAAACATCCCCCACACCATTACACCACCACCACCAGCCTGCACAGTGGTAACAAGGCATGATGGATCCATGTTCTCATTCTGTTTACGCCAAATTCTGACTCTACCATCTGAATGTCTCAACAGAAATCAAGACTCATCAGAGCAGGCAACATTCAACGTCTTCAACTGTCCAATTTTGGTGAGCTCTTGCAAATTGTAGCCTCTTTTTCCTATTTGTAGTGGAGATGAGTGGTACCCGGTGGGGTCTTCTGCTGTTGTAGCCCATCCGCCTCAAGGTTGTGCGTGTTGTGGCTTCACAAATGCTTTGCTGCATACCTCGGTTGTAACGAGTGGTTATTTCAGTCAAAGTTGCTCTTCTATCAGCTTGAATCAGTCGGCCCATTCGCCTCTGACCTCTAGCATCAACAAGGCATTTTCGCCCACAGGACTGCCGCATACTGGATGTTTTTCCCTTTTCACACCATTCTTTGTAAACCCTAGAAATGGTTGTGCGTGAAAATCCCAGTAACTGAGCAGATTGTGAAATACTCAGACCGGCCCGTCTGGCACCAACAACCATGACGCGCTCAAAATTGCTTAAATCACCTTTCTTTCCCATTCTGACATTCAGTTTGGAGTTCAGGAGATTGTCTTGACCAGGACCACACCCCTAAATGCATTGAAGCAACTGCCATGTGATTGGTTGATTAGATAATTGCATTAATGAGAAAACACAGTGGTTGTGTATGTATGTATGTATGTATGTGTGTGTATATATATATATATATATATATATATATATATAAATAAAAGAGAGAGAGAGCCCTAATCAAATATTTTTACTCATCATTTTCTCGTGATTTCGAGATAACCATAATGGTAATTATAGTGTGGTTTGTTGTATCATTGGTTCGCTCACTTGGTAGAGCATAGTAATTATAGGTTTAAGGTTGTGTGCTCAATTCTCACTGAAGGCAAATTTTTTCTTTTTTATATTTTTCATAATCCTCTTCAATAAAGTTCTTATGAAAAGACTGTTTCACATGCTCACATTACTGTAAAGCACACGCTGGACTCTGTGCATTCTTGGTCCACATCCATCAACCTATGGACTTTTCATTTCCCTGTCATTCCCAGGCAGAGGAAATTGCTTCTCATTCAGGGGAATCCATGTAACGTTACACATTTCCTGACCACTTTCGGAACCTTTGAAATAGCTGTAGGGAAATGTGTTATTGGATTCCCCTCAATCTCTTCATAACAAATTTGCTGAAGAGGATAATACACACAAAAGAAGAAAATGAAAGTCAACCAGAACAGGAATCAAACTGAGCCTGGTGCTATACCAACTGAGCTAACCAGTGACACTGGTAATTGCTTTGAAATTATTCTAAAGAAATGTACCTGCCAGCCCCTGTATTCAGCTATGGTTTGTTATCTCGTGATCACGAGAAAATTATCCCGTTCTCAGGGGAAAACAACATTCGCTATACACACACACACACACACACACACACACACATATATATACATATACAGTGCCTTGCGAGTATTCGGCCCCCTTGAACTTTTCGACCTTTTGCCACATTGCAGGCTTCAAACATAAAGATATAAAACTGTAATTTTTTGTGAAGAACCAACAACAAGTGGGACACAATCATGAAGTGGAACGAAATTTATTGGATATTTCAAACTTTTTTAACAAATAAAAAACTGAAAAATTGGGCGTGCAAAATTATTCAGCCCCCTTAAGTTAATACTTTGTAGCGCCACCTTTAGCTGCAATTACAGCTGTAAGTCGCTTGGGTTACGTCTCGATCAGTTTTGCACATCGAGAGACTGAAATTTTTGCCCATTCCTCCTTGCAAAACAGCTCGAGCTCAGTGAGGTTGGATGGAGAGCGTTTGTGAACAGCAGTTTTCAGTTCTTTCCACAGATTCTCGATTGGATTCAGGTCTGGACTTTGACTTGGCCATTCTAACACCTGGATATGTTTATTTGTGAACCATTCCAGTGTAGATTTTGCTTTATGTTTTGGATCATTGTCTTGTTGGAAGACAAATCTCCGTCCCAGTCTCAGGTCTTTTGCAGACTCCATCAGATTTTCTTCCAGAATGGTCCTGTATTTGGCTCCATCCATCTTCCCATCAATTTTAACCATCTTCCCTGTCCCTGCTGAAGAAAAGCAGGCCCAAACCATGATGCTGCCACCACCATGTTTGACAGTGGGGATGGTGTGTTCAGGGTGATGAGCTGTGTTGCCTTTACGCCAAACATAACGTTTTACATTGTTGCCAAAAAGTTCGATTTTGGTTTCATCTGACCAGAGCACCTTCTTCCACATGTTTGGTGTGTCTCCCAGGTGGCTTGTGGCAAACTTTAAACGAGACTTTTTATGGATATCTTTAAGAAATGGCTTTCTTCTTGCCACTCTTCCATAAAGGTCAGATTTGTGCAGTATACGACTGATTGTTGTCCTATGGACAGAGTCTCCCACCTCAGCTGTAGATCTCTGCAGTTCATCCAGAGTGATCATGGGCCTCTTGGCTGCATCTCTGATCAGTCTTCTCCTTGTATGAGCTGAAAGTTTAGAGGGACGGCCGGGTCTTCGTAGATTTGCAGTGGTCTGATACTCCTTCCATTTCAATATTATCGCTTGCACAGTGCTCCTTGGGATGTTTAAAGCTTGGGAAATCTTTTTGTATCCAAATCCGGCTTTAAACTTCTCCACAACAGTATCTCGGACCTGCCTGGTGTGTTCCTTGTTCTTCATGACGCTCTCTGCGCTTTAAACGGACCTCTGAGACTATCACAGAGCAGGTGCATTTATACGGAGACTTGATTTCACACAGGTGGATTCTATTTATCATCATTAGTCATTTAGGTCAACATTGGATCATTCAGAGATCCTCACTGAACTTCTGGAGAGAGTTTGCTGCACTGAAAGTAATGGGGCTGAATAATTTTACGTCCAATTTTTCAGTTTTTTATTTGTTAAAAAGGTTTGAAATATCCAATAAATTTCGTTCCACTTCATAATTGTGTCCCACTTGTTGTTGATTCTTCACAAAAAATTACAGTTTTATATCTTTATGTTTGAAGCCTGAAATGTGGCAAAAGGTCAAAAAGTTCAAGGGGGCCGAATACTTTCACAAGGCACTGTATGTATATATACATACATATATATATAATCTCCTCACTGTGTATTGTTACTGTTTACTGGTATTGAGTATTGGTATGAGTGTTGCTATTGTGATGTTGTTCTGGACTATTCTTACTTTGTTTATGGTCCTTAAGAAACAACATTTCGTTTAGCTAGAGTATATACTTGTAGGCAAAGGATATGAATAAAGTATTTTAACGCAGTGAAAGTGAAAGTATTAAGTATTTTAATTGATAACGTGTTCAACCATTTTGCATGTAGTGACTAATGCAATGAACTTATGCCTAGATGTTTTGGGGGGTAAGATTATTCAACAGACACTGGTATAATTCATTGTGATCAGCAGGACATGAGCAATTGATAATGTAGGAAACAGCAGACAATTGTACATAATCATTTGCGTCAGTGTGTCAAGTCATTTGCAATTTGTTCAAAACAATGAGAAAGTTCTTTTATGATGTGCACAAGTGACGAGATGTTGATGTGGAGGTTGAACAATTAGTTTTGAGAATTTCAATTCTGATCTGAGAAATGCACCAAAGCGACTGAGAAAAAACTAACACTATCTTGCCAGATTGATTGTAATTTAAGAGAACCCATTGAACAAGTATTTCCAAGCTCTTTCCTCATCAGGAAAGAGCTCAGTTGAAGCTTCAGTCGAAGAGAATCGAATAAAAAAATAGAAGAGTCGAGAAAAAAAAAAGCCTGCTCAGTTAAATTCTTTTGGAAGTGGATACCTCAACATACACACACACCCACACCCACACACCAACAAACCAACAGGAACACATATCACTCATTCACAGGCCTAATCCAAGCATATGGGCAGACAATAAAGGTAAGATGTTTGATGAATGTGGAGGAGCTGAGAGCACCACTGTTTGTCTGCTGTTTCTTCCCACTCCGTGTGCAGTGTAAGAGGAAGACGTAGAGCATTTAGTCTATTTCAGTCCCTGGATATGTGAGGTCTTTTCTTCACTGTTCCTTTCAAGACCAGAGTGACTCATCCACACTTGTGCACTATCTGACTCCTGCAAGCAGCAAGGCAACGCTGCTAGAAAATTCAAACCATTAAAGTGGAAGGCCACTGTGGTCACTCAGGCAAGGCAAATGCCTTGACTTACTCTCAAAGATCAGCACTGTTACTGTTGACCACATGTTCATGTGCAGTCCTATTTTCCTTCTACTCCCTAATTATGCTCATTGTTTTTCTTTATGTTGTTTTTGTGCTCACAATGTTTTGTAAGGGATCACGAGTGAAGAAAAAGATTCTTCTTGCGACCCTGCACTGCTGGAGAAACAGGTTTTTATTTTCAGGTAAATACAGAGGCATTTCCTTCATTCTTGTAATTTTTTCACTGCCCAGTGCAACAATGTTGCTGTGAAAGTCAAGAAGTAATTCAAGTATTTCCTTATTTGTGCGGTATATAAAACACAATTGGGAGAGATGATCAGGACAAGACAAACAAGAAGTAACTGAGAGATGAAGACCGCAGTGGCTTTGCTGACTTTATCCCTCTTCTACATTAGTGTGGCTGAGGCCCAGCTGCCAGTTACCCCTGACATAATAGGGAGCCATGAAAACTGTTGCCAACTTGGTGCCTTAAGAGAACTGGAGGCCAAACTGAAAAACACTGAGAAACAATTAGAGGATCTGAAGTGATCCAAGGTAAGAACCTACAGTAATAAAGCTATGCATTTCTATTCTGTCTTATGTACCATTTTCATTGTTTTCAGGTTGGTTCAGATTTAGTTAAACAAAATAAACATAATATCCTCCTGTTTTCATGCAACCTCTTAAGGTAACAGAGTGGCATTTGGAGCATCTATGGCAATGTTGGAAATGTTGGACCTTTTAACGCTGAGATAATACTGGCCTTCAAGAATATCTACTCAAACACAGGCGCATACAACCCTACAACAGGTAAACTTACTATAATGTGTCCTGATAGATATATGGGTTCATCTGGATAAAATGGAAAGCACAACAGCTATTATGCTCAAAATGGTATAAGATGTGACTCTGTTGATCATCCACAGGTATTTTCACGGCTCCAGTCAAAGGATTCTACTACTTCAGTTTCACTGGCCATGGTTTATCAACTAAACAAATAGGGCTGCAACTGATGAAGAATGGAAAGCAGATGGTTATCGCGTTCAACCATGCAGCTGGAAACCGCTATGAGACTGTCTCCAATGGCATGACTCTACAGCTTGAAGTGGGAGACCAAGTGTACATTTCTCTCCGGACAAACACCTGGACTTTTGATAATAATGATAGCCCCACCACCTTCAATGGCCATTTGTTATTTCGTCTGTAAGTGAAATAAAATTCAAATAAGCTAAAAGAGCCTTTAAAAAAGGAGATTATTGTTGCAAGTGGTGGTAATGTTACACTAAAATGAAATCAAATAACCAATAAGATGTGATACACATTTTTCAGGGTGACAATAAATCAAAATATCTTCTCGTGTGTGTTTAAAGCTGCATTAATTATTTTTTGGCCACTGGCGAACAGACAAAAACCAAGCTTACAGGTACACAGCTTTTTCACTAGCTTATAAAGTTAGGAAAATAATTCCCTTCTCTTACATCCAGCAGACACAGCAACATTAGCATTCAATTGCAGGTTGGTTGCCATCTACCTGATGACAGTAAGTCCTAACTAAATACTTGACTGTGTTCACAAGCCAGTCTGTAATTTTCTCTGTTAGCTATTTGGTGCTGGGCACATAGTCTAGAGTGGGTTTATCAGAGCTTTATTGTTGGGGAAACTTTAGCTTTTATTTGTTCATGATAGCAGCTCTGGAGATTTAAACCGATCAAAAATAATTAAGGTAAAGAGGAATCTATATGAAAAATGTGTATTCATTAGTGTTATGTGTGTTATGCATTTTAAAGTGATTTAAATAAATAAAGCTACATTAACTCCAGCCTGAAAAATTGCTGCCATCATTCATGATTAATTCATAATCAAACAGAAATGTGAGATGAGAAGATGGGAAGATTGTAGATTAGAGCCAAAAATGATTAGCTTATCTTAAAGATTGGAAAAATGAGAAACAGCTACGCTAAGTCCGAGATTCCAAAACAGTACAAGTACACAAAAAATACCTACTGAACTACTTGTAAAACCAACAACTTGTACTTGTTACACTTCTGTTTTTGGACAAATTACACACAAGGAGAAACAACCTGATGAGCTGTAGAGGTGATTGTGGCCAGATTTTGTTTTAGCCTTATTTTTACTGGACAGATGCAAAAGTGGTATCAACATCTGAATCTAATACTCAGCAATTAAGCAAATAAGTGTACTGTATTTCCCAAAATATTGAGTAATTGCTTTTAAAGTACAGACATGACAGGGTATACAGTTTTGTATACAAAGTAAACAAGAGTAGCCTATATTCCAAAAGTTTGGAACTATGCCATGGCAACCGGCAGCACTTGTAGAAGCAGCAGCCGCTAGCTCCTTCAAACTTCCCTACACTTTTGTTTTTCATTTGTTTTTTTCTAGCTTTATTGCCAGAACACCTCTGACATAAGTAGTTGCAGTCTTTGAAAGATGAAGACGATCCACTTGGCCCAAACAACAGGACCAGGCACCACGGCAAGTGGGGTGATCGCTCAGAGGAGAGGAAAGAGAGCCAGGAGAGGAGCCACGCTGGTCCAGCTTGGACTTCATTCTGCTCCTAAAGAGCCGGTCTGGACAAAATGGGACTCACATTGACCAAGCAATGGAATTCAGAGACCACATCGTTACAGAGACCTGCCCCATCAACACCGGCAGGTGGTCCATGTTCCGAGCTGCCAGTGCAAGACTCTGGCAAGATGAGAGGAGGTGGACTGTATTTAACATTGATGATGCTTGGTGCACAAACACAGTCAAGATGAACTCTGTTTCCCAAATGTCAGGAAATAAAAGCTGAAATTCTGAACTCTTGTCTCATACTCATACATACATTTTTTGATCTTAAACCCAAATGTCTTCAGTGAACAACAAAAACAAAGGCCCTGTTTGCCTATACTTACTACTATATATACACACTATACACACTATACTTTTGGGGTTAGCATCAAGACGTATTTCAAAACGTATTTCTTTGTAGGCTATTTTGATAATTTACATCGTAAATCCCTGTTAAAAACGTTGCACCGTTTTACCACAAGCTCTAGTTGCTCCAGAGGTATGCAGCCTCTGACATATATAGCAACTGTAAGTCGCTTTGGATAAAAGCGTCAGCTAAATGATTGTTAATAGAGCGGTTAATTTCTGGTCTAAACACCATTTCAACAAATTATAGGAAGAAGAATAGCAAAATTACCATCAATATATGAAAGAGCTACTATAAAAATACAATGATACCAACAAAATTTGTGCAATATATAAACGTAAAAGGCTAATTATTGTAGTATGTAATATTTATTCTTGATTAAAGGTTGGCACTTTCTGATATATTGAACTTTTTATGTAGCATGTATATGCACTAATCAATTTATAAGGAGATACAAATAACTTCTGTAAACACAAGCCGCTTGTATCCTTTACTAGTCTATTTGTAGGGGCCGACTTTATGATTTTTGTAATTGTGGCCTACTTACTTCACTGGTCCACTTTGTATGACACATGCAAACAAGACGTGGTATGGTCTGTGATAAATGTGTCTGATTCAGAGTGTTGCATTATTAGATTATTTAATACCCACTGTCTTATGAGACGCTGAGACCTCTAAAGTCTACTAATATTCGCTGCAGACCAACACCAATATGAACCTGACGGTGCTCCATGATGTATGATATCCAGGTAGATATTTGGAGGCGTTTGTTGCCTTTTTACCTGCTTTATGACCAATGATCAAACATTTCCACCACATGGCTTTTGTTTACAATTTCCATTTGGACCATTTGAGTTTTGCCTTTGTGAAAAAAGGAAGAAAATGAAAAGAATGTATATCATCCTCACATTAGTTTGATTCAGGAACCGGACCTTTAGGTGTGAACCCGCACTTATATTACAGTTTCTTACAACTGCTTATACACAAAATCTTTACATGTCACACGATTCTTGAAACCTCTCACTCAAAGAGCAAAACTACACCTCAAATCTCCAAAACCATAAGCTATTTCTCAGCCTTTCACTCAGTTTTCAATTGCATAAAAAACTTTTTTCAAAACACTACACACAATACTCTGCCTAAGAAATCTAACAGGAAGTGACTTGCTTTTACCTTTCCAGACACAACCAATCAAAATGCTACACTTCTTCACAAGGTCTCACACACAGCTCCTCAAATGCATGGGCGTAAATCTCATCTAACAATAGGAGAGGACAATAAACAGAATTTCTCAAGAGAAATTTTTGAGGGGGACACAAATAATACAGCCAAAATTGTATTTGTATAGGATACGTGTACACAGAGAGAAGTCTTACTACTATTTTTCTGGCCACCAACACAAAGTAATAGTTGTTTAAGTGTGACTTACAGTTTTTCACAATTGCTAAGATACATTTCTTGAAACCTTCACCCATATTCTCAAAACTTTAAACAGAAAACCCAGTCTTTAAACTACATTCACAATACCCCTGACTCTTCTGGCAAAATCAAACACTTGCCTCAAAACCATTTGATCTGTGCTCAAAATCACAGCCAGTCAATATGTAAAACACTACAGAGCATTCTTTAGACACTACATCAAAAAAATTGAGAACACAGTGTCCAGGGCATGTAGTTACAGAAAAATAGTTTTTGCATAGAGGAAACACATTTCCCAATTTAAAAAGTATAGTAATCACAAGTTAGTACAGTAAATATATAGTATTCTGTAAATACTGTAAGTAATCCAGTATTGAATGTCTGTATATTCAAATACAGTAAGCAACAAAGAAAACTATAAATGGAAAGCACATTACACTCAAAAACTGTTGAGCAACTGCAAAATCAAAGTCAATACATTGAGAGACTTCATCCACATGCAACCTTGCCCCTTAACCAAGCAAAGGAGAAAAACCCTCAGAAGTGCTGTATGCTGCCTTACTGTAACAACACTCCTCACATATCTCACCACAGGCCAATTCCATTGCCCATAAGAGATTTTCCGTAGTAAATGAGTTTTGGTCATAGACCTTCCACCATCACCTTCCACCACTCTTTGCTGTATTTCACGCAGTCGCATGGCATTGTTTTGATGGACCATATCAACAATGAGAGCCTCTTGCTGTTGGGAGAACAAAGGAGTCCTTCCACCCTCATTTAGTAGTCTTGCCATTCTACACAAGGGAAAATGCATTTACAAATGTATACATACAGTAACAATAGTAATGGACATCGCATTCATATGTAAAATGTATATGTCTTTTTTCCTTTTTTCTCCAGTCCCCTTTCTATTGACAAAGTGATGTAATGTATCAAATGTATACAGTAAACTTTCAGTCGCAAAAATTAGAAATACAATACATTCACCTGTTCTCTTCTTTGAATGTCCTGATTATGGTGGCCACAGAGAATCTGCTCAAATTGGGTTGTACTCTTTCTCCTGCTTCCCTCATTGTCATTCCATGAACAAGAACATGGTCTATCACAGTTGCCCGTATTTGATCTGAAATTACTATTCTTGGTCTTGCTCTTTGTTGTCCTCGTACTCTTCCTCTTCGTCCACCACCTCTTCCTCCTCTGCCTCTCACATTGTTTCCATCCATTGTTGGTATCAACATTCAACGTACCTGGGCCATCTGTGTACTCTGAACTGGCTTATATTCTAGACAACTGATTTGATCACATCATTAGAAACACGTGTGGACAATTTTGAGTTGTTGTGTGTAAACGATGACTGCTGTGTTGTAGTTGTGTTTAACTTTTGCCTCATGTATTTACCCACTGTCCGTCCTTGGGTTAACCATTCTGGGTGGGTCCCATCCATTAGCAGTTGGTTCATTTGTGCTGCCAGGCGTTCATAAAGTGCAGCTAGTTTCTTCAGCCAGTAGGTGTGGAACATGTCAGGGCCTGGTGCTGTCCAGCTTTTCATACCTGCCACTCTTTCTTGGATGTCTGCCATTGTAATGGTTACTGGATCTTGTTCTGGGAGATTGCTGTGATCTGTTCTTAGATCTACTAGCCACTGAGCATTGGTGTTGTGGGATGCCTCTTTCTCCCATATGTTCTTCCAGTACTGTTCAGTCTCAGCCCTGGGCGGATCTGATCTTGTGTTATTACCCTGCCACTGAGAGTACACTTTGGATGGTTTGATGTAGAACATCTGGTTTATTCTCCTGGCTTCTGCTTCTCCCTTGTATCTCTGTTGGCGGTAGCCAGAGCGGTAAGTCTTTGTTCGTCTCCAGAGCCTCAGGTATCGACAGCTTATTGTATTTCTTAGGTAGCCCTTTCCTTGCACCTTTCTGTAGCTCTGACAGCTGACTAACCTCTCTTCGTGTTGCCTTGATCTTGGCCTCTAGCCTAGATCAATAGAGGCTGGAGTCTACCACACCAGGCAGGACCCCAGGTGCAGACTGTGCAAGGATGCCCCCGAAACAGTACAGCACATAACAGCAGGGTGTAAGATGCAGGCAGGAAGTGCGTACATGGAACGCCATAACCAGGTAGCTGGCATAGTGTACAGGAACATCTGCCATGAGTATGGGCTGGAAGTCCCAAGGTCAAAATGGAAGACACCTCCTAAGGTAGTTGAGAATGACCAAGCTAAGATCCTGTGGGACTTCAAGATCCAGACTGACAAACTGGTGATGGCTAACCAACCAGACATCGTGTTGATCGACAAACAGCAGAAGAAGGCTGCAGTGATAGATGTGGCAATCCCAAGCGACAGCAACATCAAGAAGAAGGAACACGAGAAGCTTGAGAAATACCAAGGGCTGAAAGAGGATCTAGAAAAG